CGAGTAGAGTCTAATTCAGTCTGTAATTATACGAGTGATTGACAAATTAAAATCGGACGACCGTGAAGCTGGAGTCCGACTTGTTAATCCTTAGTATGATTACGGAAAAAATTGGACGACACAATGCTCTGTTACTAATTAATAAAAACTATGACAATTTGAGAAACAAACTTGACATCACTTATACGTTTTCATTAAAAAAAATTATAAACCGTTTTAAGAGCTACCAAGTTTGAAAAAGTCAATGTCCAACGTAATAAAACTGCAGTGTTTTAGGTGATAAAAATTTAAAAACTCGAGGACGGGTGTCGGTTTAGAATATCAAGGTGTTCTCAAGGAAAATTTTAGAAAATGTTCATCTTACGCTCAGTCAGGAAAAGTAACTGAGTAGGGACTGGGTTCCAAAAACACGACAAACAAGATCGCGGCCAAAAGAAAATTATTCATTTTCATATCGTGAGTGAAAGTTTTCCAAGGAAGACGTTACAGATAAGTGTGGAAAAGGAAGGATTACCATTTATTTACATAAATAAGGCCCAAACAAAGTCGCCGACGCACCACCGACACACCACCGACGTATCTTGTACGTTGACGACCGGTTGGTCGACGCGTCGGTTGGATCGGATTCTTTACCTTTACCGCGCGTACATGACACGTTCTGTCCACTTACACAGGCATGACGTGTTAACTTTAGCTGTCCTAATCACACTATCCAATGACAAGCATGACACTGTCCTAAGAGTGCTCAAATCGGGCTGGTGATAACAAATCACGTTCGAGAATTTTGTTATAGTTTTGGTTAACATGATAATGGCGATTGCCATGCTTGGCTTACTTTTTTAAAATTGAATCCTTTGGTGGACACATGTGTGAAATTGACTCGACTATTAAAATGGTAAGTTGGTTTTTTAGCGCTCTTAATATAATCGATGAGAGCATAGAATAATAGTAACCGGCAAATGGCACATGCGAAATGTCACGTAGCTGCTTCCCGTTTGCCGTAAGCTTCATGCTTCATTTCACAAAAGTAGCCCAGATCGACAGATTTATAAAACCCCTTTATTCTTTGAACAGACAGCAATTGCTTCTCTCTTCAAACTTACAAAGGGGTCAAGTCATATAATTTACTAATCTGCCATATGTTTCAGAAAGCTCGAAAATAAATATTATGACAAGAAGCATGACTACTTAATCAGATAACTTGGTTTCACTTACATGATGTCGTTAATTGCGGAATGTGACTCCTTTTTCTCTTTTTTATGAAAATATCAACGCCTGATCGGCTATTAGGAAAAGCTATCTTTCAGACCATGTTTTAAGAAAATCTATACTGATCAAGAAGTAAATAAACGACATGTTCCTTCATTTCTCATGTTATGGAAAAGAACTTTTGCATAATTTTCTCAAATTCCTTTCCTTTTCCTTTTCTGTCTTTTTTCACTGAAGTTCTACGTGAAGTCACAAAACTTTACTGCTGCTCATGTTGAACGTAGTGTTTGCCTACTAACTCTTGCTTTACTAACACAGATATCCATGATATTTTCTCATGTGATATTCTTGGGCATTTGTATATTAATTTACAACTGAATTGTGACGTTTTGTTGGTGCAGCAAGATTTATTCGGGTACCAGCGGTAAACACTGTGAAAATTTAATGTTTTAGGCCTCGTATCAATGTCATTACTTTAGGGGAAAAGCATCTGATAAAAAATCTTTCCAACTTCTTACCTTTTTCAGGGGTGAGTAATTTCATTTATGTACTTTTCGAAAGCTGACGCTGTTGTTGGCTCATCAACATTTATTCAGCTATCAGCAGAAAACGTATTGTAAAGTTATGGTCTTATACATTTAGATTTTTTTTTCAAGCAATTCGTGATCTAAGAGAAATTTTATTTCATCTATTAATTGATTATTTCTTTATTTTACCGTGGTTTGATTGCTCTTCTTATTGGAATTGATCACCCACTCGAAATGTACTGTACACTACACCAGAACGAAAAAAAAAAACCATGAAATTTGATAAAAAATGATTGAAAATTCCTATTCTGGGCTTTTTCCCAAACAATATTTTTCCAACGTTCATATTATTGCTTAAGGTTACTCTAAACCTCCTCAAGACTTCTTTGGTTGCGATTATTCTTTTGTTTTTCGATCAAATCCAAGATGATTATTTAAACCCATACTTTACAACAAATTAAGTTAAAACCTTGTTGAGAAGGCGTGTTGGTGTGTTCGATGAAAATCTATTAAATTATCAAGTTGTTAGAATTTCCGTCATGTGAGGAGGCGCGGTCGCCTCAGGGTTAGTGCGCTCGACTCCGGATTGGGTGGTCCGGGTTCGAGCCCTCGCCGGGGTCATTGTGTTGTGTTCTTTGGCAAGACACTTTACTCTCACAGTGCTTCTCTTCACCCAGGTATACAAATGGGTACCAGCAAACGTGCTGGGAGTAACCCTGCGATAAACTAGCATCCCATCCAGTGGGGAGTCGCAATACTCCTAGCCGCTTCATGCTAAGAAAACCGGAGTTAAGCACCGGCTCCATGGGCCACTTGGGCCCGTATAAAGGCTTTACTAGAATTTCCGTCAGGTGTTACTTCCCAAGGCTCGATTACCAGACGCTATTTAGGAAATGAGCCTGCGCTAACCCCCAAAGTCACGGCCGTTCTCCCTTACATGTCAATAAAATGAGAAGACAAGGAAAACGATGTATTAGTTTTTCCGGATCTATTTGACCGCCAAAGGGACATCCTTTTCACTGGTTCCCTTTTATTCTATGTGAGCAGTTTCATTTTTTTTTTTTTTGCATGCTCGTTTTTATTGCTTTAGTCGATTTGAGACATCGCATGGATACAATTGCTTTATCTGCAAATATCTCAGTGTACCAATCAAACACAGTTTTAAACAGCAAAAGTGTTAATGATCCCTCTCGTTATTTTTATTTCTATTCCAATAGTGAGAGTAAAATCCTAATAAAAAAATTTCAGTTTTCAACTTCAGTTTGCCTGTATCGTACCATCACCCGGATGCGAATGTTTAAATAACAGTAACCCGCGTTAAACCGGGTACCAAGAGAGCAGCTGTAGTCGGAAGCGACGTAATTGTTTGAGCTGTTAGCACTATTCCACATTTTAAGCCATTTGTCCGTGTCAAAATGGAATTCAGATATCCCTCCGTTTGAATCGAAGTGGAAATTTGATAATGTGAAAAATCAGAGGGGGGATTCCTCTCATTGCGATCTACCGTGTGTACTTATAAAAACCTTGGATTGCATTACATCACATTATATTGTATGTTGTTCCCATCAAGAACTTGTCGAAGTCTGTTTTGTCCTTGTTTGGAGCACCTGCTTTCCTGTTTTTATTAACCCGGATGATATTGACGTCACTTAACTGGAAAATAACTTCTTCCCATTCTCCCATGTCAGGGTGAATGTGACTTGCTGCGTCTGCGTCTGTTGTTTTTGCTGCTATTCCCGGAACGCTACTTTGACGAAGACACTTTCGTAAAAAATAATGTCCAGCCTCCACCATCAATCTGCATGTCGAAAAAAGCCTGAAAAGAGTCATCTGTTGTACCACCGTTTGGATCGATCCAATAAAGTCAGCCACCACGTCTTTTACCTGAATGTATGAAGAGCTAAAGCTAAATGTTACCATTTCCAAGAGAAGCCGCGAAATATTTCCTGGCTAGGTTGTCGCCTCCGTGACTAATTCTTTTTAGAGAGAAAATTATAGTTGGCGTTTCAGTTCAGGATAAGACCCCGTGTGATCAAGATCGTTTTTGAATAAAAGATAAGTTAGACCCTTATCCTCGGTAAAGTAATCACGACCCGCGAACGCTGTTTACCGCTTCTATATAACAACGCTCCAAGGAATAGGGAAAGGAATGAAGAAAAAAAAGATCCTCTATTGGTTTGGCGTTTTTAGCATGCGCGTGTATTATCTCGGGAATCGAGATTTTAATTCTAGCTTGAAAAGAAACATTTACAAGCCACCTGATATTACATTAAAATTTGACCGAAATAAAATGATGTCGCTATGAAGGGAAAAGCTAGCGCTTCTATTTTCTCTTTTCAAGGTCACATTATCATTTTACGATTATTATCATTTTTAATCAAGTTATTTATTCGCTTTATCTCAAACTCACCTGATTTTAAAATATTAAAATTGATCCCTATTCCTACATAAGAAATTGAGGTAAATCAAGTACTAGCACCTTTCTTCATATAATATAATATCAAGCAGTGTGGCAGTCTCCGTTTATAAGGAGTTACGATAGAAATTAATTGCAAGTTTAGTTTGCATATCAAGGTGAAGTTCTATGAGGCCAAAATATTTTGATTATAGTCAAAAGCTTGCGCAAAGAAGAGTCCCCTTAAAGTTAATAGGTAATCTTTTCGTGCGATTGTGCTTTCAAAAATGTTTCTTGGCCTTTCAGTTGATGCAACTAGTATTTGTGACCTTACCAAACCTTGCAAAGTTTATAAAAAAGATTTTGCAATAAAAGCTACATATCAGTTGGTTATGTTATTCACGAACCTTAAGATTAATCTTAATTGATTAAAACATGAGGATTATTTACTTAATTTTTTTCTATCGCAGTTGTGAAAGAATCATGTGTGCGCTTTATTTAAAAAGAAATATTAATAATAATAATAATAATAATAATAATAATAATAATAATAATAAAGATAATAAAAAGATACGTTCACCTCAGAAGCAGATCCTGTTTAGGACCAAAGCTGTTTTAATAAATTCACTTTTAATTATGATTTCGTCATTAATATGAAGTCTTCGTTTTCTCATATTTTTTCTAATTTTCAGACCTTCTATTTATTTGCAATGGAACATCTTGATGTGCATTTTCATTATAATGAATTTTTTAGAATTATTATAATTACTATAATTGTTATAATTATTATAATTATTACAATTATTATAATAATTCTTATTATCATTATCATTGTTGTTGTTATTACACTGTATTTTCATTATTATTATCACTAGTAGTCTGCTGAAGGCTTAAACACGCAACTTCTAAGATACAAATCATGCTGGTCGAAGTTTGATCTCGATGTGCTTTAACGAATAATCTTGTCCCCGAAATGGTTCCCATGTAATTCCTTGTGCGTTACCTCCACCTTGGTACAAACCATTTGGATTTGCGTTATGGCAATAGTTGTACCACCAGGCGCCTTTATAGTACAAGGCACAATTCTTACTGTTATCGACGTCGTTGTCTCTGTCCTTGGTTGTAAACTTCATATTTCTGATATGAAAAAAGAATTTTGTAAGAAACTGTGGAAGAGCTGAACAACAATGCTACTGATAACATTGTATGGTCAGCAATAAGGCTGCATTATCAGCAAAGTGTAGAAAAAGGATATTCCCCCATCAGGCAAGTGAAAGACAAATGGTAACGTTAGCAATCAACAAAACGTATTTTATGGTAATAATGCAGCGTAGAAGAATGTACTAGCACCAATTCAAAAGGAGCTTTAATTGTCAGCAATATGCGTCAGATATAAGTTGGATCTTCTGATCAGCAATGTTGCCTGTAGCAGTACATTTTCAGAAAGAGATGTTTAACTTAAACAAGTGTAGAGATCTTCATCTTCAGCGGGTAATGAATACTTTTCTCGGTTCTTGCGCAGAGCTCTCAGGGTTAGCTTTATATCACTGTTCGCTAAGCATTATACGAAAAACTGAAATGCCTGAAACAAACCTGATAGGCCTACTGAGAGATAGCAATGCATCACCTGCGGTGCCTCGGTATGCATCGATCGTCACCCGGTAATCATCGCTTTCGTCGGCCACAAAGAAGGTCGTGTATTCAGCAAATCTTCGGTCGCCTTCGTAATCCTCCATATCGATTCGAAACACCATGTTGGCAGATGCAGTGAGACGGTGAAGGTAGTCATTTCCAAGCCAAAACTCGCCCTTCATATTTCCAAAGCCTTTTTTGTAAGATTCCCAGTCAACATAAAAGTCTACAGAGCCATCCATGCGCCTTTGAAAGGTGGTCCATCCTCCACCATTAGTTGTCATGTCACACAGTACTTGGAAGGGTTCTTCTTCATCAGGGTAAATCAAATACACTCCGTCGGAAGTGGAACCATTTTGATAATGGTCAAGACAGTTCCTGGGACAATCTTTAGAATAGAAACCCAAAGGAGTAATCCTTAGAGAATATAAAGTTACCGACTTCTATAACCCGCATATTCATTTTCCGCGAAATTAAATTAAACACTTTATAGTTAGTCATGTGGTGTAAAATCACCGGACAGTTATCACACAATAACCCCCGTCTACGTCTGTATTTGTCCCCAAATTATTTCCATCGGAGAGAAACAAAGCCAGCGGAAAAAAAATAATTTCAAGAGTTTCACTTTTTCATCTCTATCACTTTACATGGAAGAAAAAAGAACTCGTTTTGTGGAGTCCAGTAATAGTGACACTAAAAAGCTGATCTGAAATGCTGCTCCAAAAGTACAAAAAAAGTCGACAAAATTTGCTTTCAACTCGCTTGACGAGAATTACTGGAAGGGTTATAAATTAATAAAAACCCTTCTGGCTTGTTGGTCTGTAGGCTGATAACGTCCTTGACTGAGACATTGTCCTCAAAGTTTTGCTTGTCTACCAATTATTCATTTCTCAGACAAATATCTCGGCACGTGATAAAACCTGGAACGCCAGGTAACCATTAACTATATTTTTTCATCGAATTTTAAGTTTTTTTTATTTAGTTTTTCCACGGTGTTCCGGCATGTTCCGGTGTTCTGGTATTTTACAAGATAATTCCCGTTTTCCGGCATGTTCGGGCATGTTCCTCCATTTTTCCGGTATGTTCCAGCATGTTCCAGCATGCTCAATATCTTGGCCGTGGACATTATTAGCCGAAATACCAGTCACCTGAAGTGGTTTTTTTCCTAATCATATATTGGTGTTATAGCATCCACCAAAGCATGAAATTAATGAAAATGTCCTATCTTAACATTTTTTGTTTCCGTCATAATTGACCACCAAATTTCGTACCTCATGCAGAATATTATTATTGCATATCAGTTTAGGGGATTTCCTCTCTCTCCAACAGAGTGGACGTGAGTTGATGTTCTCCCTCGCCATCTAACTATTTGTTATGTTCGAAGTTGCCTGTTTCACCTTTCGTAAACTCTCTTCGTCTAGTGCCTATTACCCAGTTGAATCTGCATCCCAGCACTTGAGAGCATCTCAATTATACCGTTCACCGTTTACCCTGTTAGAGAAATTCCATCCCCAACTGTGTAAATCCATAGCTGTCAGACTACAAAAATCTAACCACGTCTATCCTTACCTCTGTTACACTTACAAAAGTGAGTGTTTGATCTGTATTCAACCACACATATTTCATTCTCTGTGCATGGATTATCTTGTTCGCAGGTGCTCTAAAAGTAGGGAAATAAAATTGCCTTACATATATATTCATATTTTAAAGTTGAAGGAGGACTTTTTTGTTAAGTGGGCCAAGAACTTCCTGCCTTTTGTCGATCTTACATCTTAGAAGAGAAAAAGCTGGGACACAGTTTTATTTTTGAAAAGTCTGAGAACGAACTAATCTCACAAAGGTGGAAATGAAGACTGGATTGTATTCCCTTTACAGTCATTTGAGTGTCTCATTAATTAATGTTCCATTTTTTCAAACGAAAGTCTCTATAGAATTTAAATTATATGATTTCATTTCACAGTAAATTTTGTCCTCGAAAGACCACTATAGTGAAACGTTCTCTTTCTTAACAAGAAACCCTGCCTTTTTTGACAGGTGCTTTAAGGCACCAATAACTTTGGCAGATCATAATTGGTTTTTACGGAAATAGCTGTAATGTGTCGACAGAGAGGTGAGACAATCATTCATTATCAACTAGTAATTCATTAAGGTAGATAGAGACAGTACACGTATGGAATTCCTAAACACTCAGCAGTAAATTTACACCGAAGGAAATACACTTAAAACGAGCCGGATGACATTCAAGTTCATCAAAACAACTATTTTTCACAAATTCCCTTCCGAAGGGCAGACTCCATCAAAATAATGTAGTATTGTCACCTGTATTCCTCTGTAAATGGCTCCATCCTCTTTCGTAAAATTCACACCACTGATAAAGCGGTCCGAGTCACTTAGTTGGCATATACTTATCTCCTTGCCATGGATGGGAAGGAAGTTGTAAGATAAACATCGCTCTTCAGAGATACATTCAAACTGACAAGAGATCTCAGACGCGACCTCAAAGTCTCTGAGGACACTCCCGTTGAGTTTTCGATCTTCTATCGCCTTTGCGAAATTAGCAGCCTTAAAATCGGGCTCCGACAACCGATTTGAACCTTGTGCGATAGCCGTAAGTGAAAACATCAAAAAGGTCAATAGGTACATGTTTAGTTGTTTCATTTTTATCTTGCCTTCGACTCAAATTGATTTGGCTGAATTTTCAAACTGGTGGCGCTTAACTTTTAAGCAATTTCAAGGATTCCTATTCATAATTAATAAGCTCCGTCGAAATTAAAAACAGAGTTACCATTCTTGTGACTTAATTTACATGCAAATTATATATATCACTAACTTCCCAATATGCAATATCCATCTTTTACGTCCTTCAAAATAGCAATCATCATTTGCATCGTCACGATTATTTGGATATTTTCATGGTTTCTGATGAAAACATTATTAAAAATGGACAAAAAGCATTCCTCAATCCAATCAGAGCATTTTCATTCGGAAAGCTGATGTTTTTATTTTTCTTTCGCGGGACAACAAAACAGCTTATCACATTTGTGTAGCAGCTAACACGAAAGATAAATAAAAAAGGCAGGTACTTGAAATTGGTAACAAAACAAGCTGAATTAGCATAATTCTACCAAATAAGCCGAGAAAAGGATGTAAAAAGTAACAAAAATTAAATTTCAGTATTTATATGACAAGGTGTCGTGATGTTCGCCAATCTTTTGTATTCAATAATTAATTTTGTCAAAACAGGAACTCGAGAGAGAGAATTGGCATGGGCGATACCAATTCTATAAGAGTTCTGTAAACATTTATGCGATGTACTTGTATCGTTGCCACAGATAGATTACAAATTTTACCAGCCAAGCAGAGAAAATAAACGGTTGAATATGTTTCAATATGTAAATGTGATTAAGGTATTTCACAACACGCACACAATAAAAGGTGTCAAATATTTTGCGTTGTTAACTCCGTTTTGTCTAATAACACCATCCTTAGAGGCATCAAAGGATTATGATTCTCTGAAAGTGAATGAAAAATTACATTTTAGATACATACTTATTTTTTGTGTGCTACTTCAGCATCCTGGTCGCTTTCGTTTTAAAGCAGGAACTCCTAAGGTGTTGCAAACCAACTTGAAAGCTATATCAGAAACAGAATCAGTTTACGCGTCACAGATATCTGAGCCTTGTAAACTACTATTTGCTAAAATCTTACAGGTACAGGCTACAAATTTGAAATCATGCTGGTCGAAGTTTGATCTCGATGCGCTTTAAAGAATAATCTTGTCCTCGAAATGGTGCACATGTGACTCCTTAAGCGTAACCTCCACCCTGATACAAACCATTTGGATTAGCGGCATGACAGTCACTATACCACCAGCCACCTTTATATAGCACTGCACAATTTGCATCCTCATAGACGTCGTTGTCCCTGTCCCTGGTTGTAAACCTCGTATTTCTAAATTTCAAAATAAAGAACTTCTTGAGAAAATGAGAAGCTGGATAGCAATGTTACTGAAAGCAACACACATCCAAGAAGCACTGCATTGACACAAAATTGTTAGAATGCCCATCAATGCCTTTCGAATGCAAATATATTAGCAAGTAATTTAAGGTTTAGTCAGAGGTCAATCAAAAGTATGAGTCGGGTAGAACTCGCATAGATTTTCCAGAGTTATAGTCAGGCAACCCATGTTACACGGAGAGAAGTAATTCTGATGTAGGTAAAATGACGTATTAAAGCACCGAGAGATTAAATAAGTGGAAAAGACAGGTCTAGAGTCCTCGGTGCCTATCGTTGAGTGAGATGCCATTCTGCAATTTACAGTTAGCTTCCCCTCTCTCATTGCAAACCAACAGTGGATAGCAAGTTCACCACTATACTTATAGCTGTATGGCTCGATCATAAATAAAAGTTCGGATCTCCAGCTTTCCTCAGTTACGGATCTCTGGCGCATTCTTAGGCAGGTACACTTCAGAGGTTTCCCAACATCTGTATTTATTCAGGTAAGCACCGGAAAATACAATGAACAAATCATACCTGATGGGCTGAGAGTGAAATTGCAATGATTCCCTTGCAGTGCCTCGGTATACGTCGATCGTCACTCGATAATTATCACCGTCGTCGGTCGCAGAGGAAGTCGTGTACTCAGCAAGTCGTTGGTCGCCTTCATAATCCTCCATATCCGTGCGAACCATCGTGTTGGCAGATGCAGTTAGACGGTGACGATAATCGTTCCCTAGCCGAAACTCGCCCTCCAGATTTCCGAAGCCTTTTTGTATGAATCCCAGTCGACATAAAAGTCTACAGAGCCATCCATGCGCCTTTGAAAGGTGGTCCATCCTCCAACATCAGTTTTCATGTCACACAGCACTTGAAATGGTTCTTCTTCATCAGGGTAAACCCAGTACACACCGTCAGTTGAGGAATCATCTTGATAATAGTGTTTTTGGGGCAATCTATGAATTAAACACCTGAGGATATAACTCACTGAGAGTATCAACGTTATTGTCTGTAATGAAAATAAAAATTAATGGCGTCATAACCTTTAGGCCTGCACGCTCAAAAGTAGGAATACATATAACGTATATGACTCGCCTGACACCCCGTGCGCAATCACAAAGAAAGCTTCTAACTGTGGACTTGTACTCGGTGGAAATAAAGAAGTGAGAAAATAAGACCCGTTTTTCGATGAATTCTGATTTTCTTGTTCTGACTCGAAAAAATAAAGAGAACAGTTTTTAAAGTAGGATCTTTCTTGTGGTTGTACCGCGTGCACTCGTCTTTCGGGTCCTATTTAAGCTGAAACAAAAATTTTCGAAAGTTTCGAGAAGTAGTGGTCATGTGTTAAAGTGCTTATTGACTGACAGGGCCATACTGGAATATATTCGGCTCGTGGCGAAGACTCAAGGAGCTCGTGGCACTTAGTCTTTACATTATGACCCCGAGTTAAATATTTTCACTCTCCAGCCCTCCCACTCCATTAAATTCAATTCAACGCCTCATAGCTCTCTAATACTAACACCAACCAGTATTATAACCTGTATTCCTTTAAACAGTGCTCCATCTTCTTTGGTAAAATTAACTCGAAGGCGATTATACGATGAGCGAGGTATCATGGAATTAGAAATTAGAAACTTCTATGATAATATCGCTGAGGATATGGCTCCTTGACAATATCAAATTATCATTTGTAATAAAGTGGCTTCAAAGTTTCTAGCAATTCTTCAAAATATGAATATATTACCCAGATTGTATACCATTCCGACGACTTAAGTAACTCGCATATGCACACCATTGCTGTCCCATATTCGAAGTCAGATAACAATAAGCCGTTATTGGATTAGGTTGAGCACGGTATTATGAATTATCAATGCCGTGATCGAAGGCTGAGGCAGATAACGCAGACTCTAGGTTTGATAACTCATGATATCACGAAAAAACCGAATTAAATAATTGTTTTATTGTACACATTTTGTTCAATCTGTTAAAGAGGACACTAATCTCAAAGTCTTCAAAAGTTTGAGTATCGAGATACGAAGGACCACCGGGTCTCCAGTTACCTCCTATACACTTACAGAACTGAGTGTTTGATTTGTAGTCAACAAGACAACTTTCATTCTCTTTGCACGGATCATCCTCCATGCAGGGGCTCTAAAATTATGGAAAAAATAGAAATAAACGAATATCCTTTCGAAAGTGATTTGGTCTTAAATGCTTTAACTTCTAAAAAACTATTTACCAAATGAATATTTGAGCACCTGACAACTGGGTGAGAAGTGTACTCTCCGTTTAAGAAAAAAGGCTGCAATCTATTTTAAAATCAAATCTTGATTAATGAGCCCTACGATGGTTGACATTGAGTCAAATAAAACATGCATTTCTATAGGCTCCCCGCCCGAGAGTCCCATATCATTAAAATCGAGTTGTGTCATAACCTTTATTCCTTTATATAATGCTCCATCTTCTGTTGAAAAATTTACATGACCAGAAAATAGGTCAGAATCGCTTAGCTGGCATCTCTTTGTCTCCTTTTTTGCTATGGATGGGAAGGAATTTGTAACAAACATCGGTTTTCAGAGATTTATTAAAACTGACAAGATATATTCAACTGACTGATTTCAGAAGCCACCACAAAGTCTCCCATTGAGTTTTTATCTTTATGGCCTATGCAAAACTAATTATAATACATGGTTGCTTGTACATATAGAATTTCTCTTCAGTGTGCGCGCCCATGTATTATTCTCTATATATTATATATTGAAACACTGGATAGCGTTGAGGGCGCGCTCTGATTGGCTACTCAAATTCCGATTATCCTTTGCTAAACACTTTTGAAATCATATTTTTGTGCTATATTATCTCTCTGTTTTAGTATATACTAATACTATTACATCTCAGTATTGGTGGTGAGCAGTGGATATTTACTTCCCCGTCGTGCGCCTATGTAAATATCACTCATTAGCCACCTATACTTCCGTGAATAGTTGTTAAGTAAATGATGAGGCTTTCCGTAAAATCGCCCTCTGTTCTGATCGGCTGCCGTGATTATTCCACAAGAAATTGAACTAGCATGATTGAAGTAGTTCGATAAGTAAAGTACTTTATTTGAAGACCTCGATAGAAGGGGTTTTTTGTAGGTTCACCGGGAAAAGAGAAGAAAATTATACAATCGATGATAAAGAGGTATGAAATGAAAATAAACAAAGAAGAAATGAAATCGGCATTGCTTCTTTGCATGCAGGCCATACATTGTTTGTGCGAGAAGTTGTTTCACTTTTGCTTTCTTTTTTTTGAAGGTATTACTCGAAACAAATCTTATCATAATGTGCATCTTTCCCAATTTAACTTTGCCAATCAGTGTTATGGGGAATTGTTTCATGGAGCCAGATCCCGCTATTAATGTCTTTGAAGGGAGCGAATGTCGGAAAATTAAAATTAATTTTGCACAAAAGGTTCTTATTACGGTCATCTTTTCATACAGTCTCCATTGTTTGAGAAGTTGTTTTCACTGCGATTCTTACCAATTTCCATCCTTAATAATTTCTTTTTGTATAGGAAACGATTTACGCTACCGATTAATTCAATAGGTGACGGCTTGACCAAACACCATGTGCCTCTTTTTACTGTTTAAGTGTCAGGACACTATGGCAACAGGAGGCACTTAAAAGAACTTATCAGTTGTCGCTCAGTTGAACTTAACACTAGTTAAATTATTTCGCGTGAAAGCGCACGCACCATGTCGGTTCATATTTTCAATCTGATAGTGGTAGCAATAGAAAGAACTGGATGTGTAGAAAAAAACAATGTCAAAGTTAGCCCGGTATTCCTAGTCAATGAAAGAAAAAACTAGGCCGCCCGACAACAACAAAATTACAGCTCTGCGTTAACCATGGATATGTATGAGCAACACATATTTTTCCTGTCCAGAATAGTCATTAAAGCGTATATTTGAAACCGTTTTTGAAACTCTTGATGTTTTCTTAATTTTTGCCGTTTCTTTGTTTTTGCAAAATAATCTTATGTGAGGACGCATTCATTTTCAACCAGATTAGTTCTTTCTTTTATAAGTAACACATTCATCTTAAAATATTTGTTTTTGTTTTTGTTCTTTGTGAGTATGCTTATTTTCCACGGAATCCTCAATTTCGGTTTGAATAGTATTCGCCTCGAGGTTTTAATCTGAAACATATCTGATATGAGTTTTTAGGTATTATTTTAGCGTTAATAAACTTTTTCCTTACCGCTAAACTGTAGTGATGATAAGAGTTGTTCCAGTTAAGTTTGTTGGGATATCGAAATCTGTCCGCTTTCAGCAGCGCACAGGAGTGTCCCGTTAGATCCGCTTCAACTGCAAAGTTGACAGAGATGCAAAGTTCGTGTCGGATGCAGTGAAGGCCACAGGCCATTGAATCGTAGACTTTGTAAGATGCCAGTTGATCAATGTTTAGCATTCTATTCAAATGCTCGACAAAATAAACATTATTCTTTTCATCAGATCTGCGATATTGTTCACTAGTAGTAATAGTAAAAGCTGTTAGAATTTTGAAGAACTGGAGCAAAACAAGAAACTTTGACATTTTGGATTATTGCTCGACCCAAGCCGGATAGAAATGATCAACGCCAAAACAAGGCCCCCTTTAAAACAGCAATATTTAGTTTATAAACTGCTAATAACATGACAACTAAGAAAAAAAAAAAGGTGATTGAATTGAATCAGTAGATACAAAATTAGCTATTTTATTGATGTCAGTAACTGATTGGTGCGCCCTCCCCTGCTAATGAACATTATTCACTCATCAGCGGGTGAATAATGCGAAGAACACAATAAAAAATCATCAGAGAAACTTGCGTTTCGACTCGTTAATGAAGCTGTTCCGAAAAACAGGAGGAATGGCCAGAGTAAGCCTATAGGATTTTACGTAAAGGCGAGAAAGGCCATCAAATATAGTTGCACTCAAACTTAATACGTTAACGCTGTAATCTTCAATGCAGTATGATAAAAACGTTTTGAAGCCTAAATGTGCCATACGAAACAAATTTCCAGTAGACAAGTTGAACTGAAGGGCTGATAGATAACACGCCTGGACAATACATGTTAGAATCTTTGCCAAAATCTAGTGGTCTGAAAAGCAGTTTCGAAACAAGTCCTAAATGAGTGTTTAAGGGTTGCCTTACGAGAAAATTCTATATATGTCATGCCCTAACTTCTGTGCATATACTGTTCGTTTTTTTATGAACCATAACACAGCGGCAAAATTAGTACGCAAGCTCCGTGTTACTGGTCGATAAATTGGAGTTATTGACCAAGCTTGTTCTGTTAAGATGGCTGGATACTAGCTGAGTTCTTAGTAACCGGAGACTAAAATCCAGCCATCTCTGTTTTCTATGCAAGAATTATCTCAAGTCAGCAAAATGGGTGTTATTCCCTTGCAAGATTACCTTAATGACCTTCTGATCCTAGGAAATATGTGCCTCAACCATTGTGAATACGAAGCTGCTATGACCTACTTCGAAGTGGCCTTGAAAATTATACACTCAGGTGATGCAAACGACGCTCTCGGAAAAGCAAAACTCTATCTCCTTGTGGGAACCACACACAAATGTAAGGGTAACTTCGAGCAAGCGAAGAACTATCATACGCATGCACTGGACATTCATCTGAAACAGCTTGGACCTGAGCATGTATATGTCGCAGCTTCTTACAATAACCTGGGTACTGTATACAGTGACCTAGGTGATTTCCAGAAAGCAAAAGAAAACCATGCACGTGCACTAGACATTTACCTGAAACAGCTCGGACCTGAACATGTAGATGTGGCAGCCTCTTACAATAACCTGGGTATTGTATATAGTGATCTAGGTGATTTCCAGAAAGCAAAGGACAACCATGCACGTGCACTGGACATTCGTCTTAAACAGCTTGGACCTGAGCAAACTCATGTCGCAGCTTCTTAAAATAACCTGGGTACTATATACAGTAATCTCCGTGATTTCCACCGAGCGAAGGACTACCATGTACGTGCACTGGAAATTCGTCTAAAACAGCTCGGACCTGAGCATGTAGATGTCGCAGATTCTTACAATAACCTGGGTACTGTATACAGTCATCTAAGTAATTTCCAGCAAGCAAAGGACAACCATGCACGTGCACTAGACATTTATCTGAAACAGCTCGGACCTGTGCATGTAGATGTCGCAGCCTCGTACAATAACCTGGGTACTGTATATAGCGATCTAGGTGATTTCCAGAAAGCAAAGGACTACCATGCACGTGCACTGGACATTCGTCTGAGACATATCGGACCCTGGCATATAGATGTCGCAACTTCTTACAATAACCTGGGTAATGTATACAGTGGTTTAGGTGATTTCCGCCAAGCAAAGGACTGCCTTGCACGTACACTAGACATTCGTCTGAAACAGCTCCGACCTAAGCATGTAGCTGTCGCAACTTCATACAATAATCTGGGTACTGTATACAGAAATCTAGGTGATTTCCAGCGAGCAAAGGACTACTATGTACCTGGATTGGATATTAATCTGAAAGAGCTCAGACCTAAGCATGTAGATTTTGCAACTTCTTGCAAAAGCCTGGGTACTATACAGTGATCTAGGTGATTTCCACCAAGCAAAGTACTACCATGCACGTGCACTGGACATCCGTCTGAAACATTTCGGACCTTAGCATATAGATGTAGCAAATTCTTACAATAGCCTGGGTAATGTATACGGTGATCTAGGTGATTTCCACCAAGCAAAGGTCTACCTTGCGCGTGCACTGGACATTCGTCTGAAACAGCTCGGACCTGAGTATGTAGTTGTCGCAGATTCCTACAATAACCTGGGTACTGTATACAGTGATCTTGGTGATTTTCAGAAAGCAAAGGATTACCACGCACGTGCACTGGACATTCGTGTGAAACAGCTCGGACCTAAGCATATAGATGTCGCAGCTTCTTACAATAACCTGGGTACTGTGTACAGAAATCTAAGTGATCTTCAGAAAGCAAAGCACAACCATGTACGTGCACTGGACATTCGTGTGAAACAGCTCGGACCTGAGCATGTAGGTGTGGCAGCTTCTTACAATAACCTGGGTACTGTGTACAGTGATCTAGGCTGTTTCCAGAAAGCAAAGGACAACTATGCACGTGCACTGGACATTCGTCTGAAACAGCTTGGATCCGAGCATGGAAATGTCGCATCTTCCTACAATAACCTGGGTACTGTGTACAGTGATCTAGTTGATTTCCAGCAAGCAAAGTACTACCATACACGTGCACTAGACATTCGTCTGAAACAGCTCGGACCTGAGCATGTAGATGTCGCAGATTCTTTCAATAACCTGGGTACTCTATACAGAAATGTAAGTGATTTCCAGCAAGCAATGGACTACCATGTACTTGCACTGGACATTTGCCTAAAACAGCTCGGACGTAATCATCTTAAAGTTGGAGAAACTTATGAAAATATTGGTGACGCACACAATGATCAGGGTCACGATGAGGAGGCGAAAAGGAACTATGATCATGCTTTGGCGATTTGTGTTCGAAACCTTGGCTCTGGACACGTTAAAGTTAGAATTATTCAGAATAAGCTGGCTCAATTATAGCAAAATACTCGGACGGCCTTTGTATATGCAGACACGCATGTTTGCTCTGTAACCTATGATGAAAATGTTGGATTACAGATGTCAAGCTCAGGCATCTCATCACTAAATAATCTTGATGCATGCATACTTTGTTTCGTGCGAACTTCAAGACTAATTAATAACAAATTCCGCTATCGATACGATAAGGGTTGATCAATACGTAACCAACACTTTTTGTTAAATCACACCTACTTTAAGGATTTCTTCTCTTATTTTAAACATTTAGACATCTTTAAATTCTGAAGAGAAAGCCGTTGACTGCTTGTCATTGTGAGACATTAAGGTACTTATACCAAAACCACAATCCGATTGATTGGATCTCTTCATTTTCCTGAGTTTTATAGAAGTCAAAGTTAATTAAAGCGAACGCCCGTCGTGACGATTTTCAGGATCTTTAGTAGGACAATTTATAAACAGGGAGAGATTTTCTGTTATGGAAGAGAATACATAATGTATTTTTAATTTTGCAATTTACTTTTTTTCCTTTCAGTATCCTTTTTGCATCCACATTATACCACAGCTTTCACTAAGAAATCTGTGGAGATTAGAATGGCTGCCTTCAGTGTTACTCTGTAAAGGTTGAATTTTTAATTTTATTTCTTGTCCAATTCGGTCACTTGCCGGAAAATGAAATCGGATTCATTGCAAAAAATTAGTTAAAAAAAGGGCAATTCATCCAGCAATCACATTCAAGGAAATTTTGACGGTCCTGATTAATACTAGTAATAGGACCGAGTGGAGTCCAATTCGGTCTGTAATCATACGAGTGATTAACAAAATCGGACGACCGCGAAGCGATGTGTTACTAACGAGTATGATTACAGACATAATTGGATGACACGCAGTCCCGTAACCCATCAATCAAAACAATTACAAAATTTTAGAAAGAAACTAAACACCGGCTATACGTTTTTTAAAAGAAACAATAGTTAACTTGGCGAAATGCGAGACAAAAGCGCGCGCACACGACGCGTTCTGTTAACTTAAACAGACATGACGTGTTAACTGTCCCTTTAACTGTCCTATTGCATTGTACATTTACAAGCATGACGGCTACTCTGTCCTATTAGCTCAAATCGGACTGGTGATAACCAATCACGTTTGAGAATTTTGTTACAGTTTCATTAGTTAATATGAAATCCGTCATGTTTTCGTAAGTAAAAGTTCACATCGCAAAGCTTCACCATGCTTTTATCAATTACAATAGACTTTTAATTTTTTTCTTGCAGTGTTTTCTAACTACATCTGAAACACAGTTTCTTTGTTTTGAGAACGCTACCAGCAAAAGTAAAAAAGCAAAAGAAAACAAACTTGGTTAAACGTGATTGAATTTTTAAAATCGAGATTCTTGGTAAGCTTCGTAGCTAGTTGAAATGCTTAAGAAAGATTAATTGATATTCTTCGTACGGCCATTTTCGAAAAAATCTAGTCACGCACAATGATACATTTTTGGTAATAGAATACAAAATTTCCTTTAGAAATTGGAAAGGGTATGAGAGCAAGCTCTTCGTTTTTCACTCAAAGGGCGGCCGATGTAACTTCTGAGCCTTTCTCCCTTGCGATGAGCGGAGATCGCAATGAGGGACCTAAGCATGATCGCAGTCGCTCTGACACCAACGTAATTAGTATGAATTTTTATATTTATGCTAATTTGGCTATGTTTTTCATCTTTCCTGTTTTGTTTTGTTCTGTTATTTTTTTTATTTGAACACGAAACTATACATACTATACGAGTGTTAAATGTGTTTGATTCTTGTTTTCGTACATGAAAACCTTCAAAACTCGGACTGCCCATTTACTTTTGTCTTTGAGGATCACGTTATAATAACGTAAATTAGCGTTCTTATTCAACTCTTGTCAGACGATAGCCAAAGTTCAAAGCCGAGTTAAAACTATACTGTATTAGCTCCAAGCGCTATCCTTCTGAAATAGAAATAACTCCATCGTTGTTGCATACTGATTTTCTGTTTGTAAACACTCGCCTCATCTGCAAATATCCAAGTATACAAAATAAACACAACTTCAAATAGCCAAGGTGTTATTGATCCCTCTCGTTATTTTTATTTTATCATAATAATGACAGTAATAATCCAATTGAATACAGCATTTATATTATTATCTAATTACTAAGAACGAAAATTTTTAATCAACCTCTATGAGCTGAATGGTGCTATTATAACTTGCACCTTCTTTGATATGCCAATGGATCAATTTGCTAAAACTTCACTAATTAAAGTTTTCTTATCTCATATAAGCACATAGGTTATTATTTTTGTTTTTAATGAGGGTCAACATGTTATATAATCCAATGAGTCAGAAAGCATGCATTTTCTGAACTCTGCAGAAAATATGAAGAAAAACCTGGTATTGTTCTAATAATGAAGCACATAATCAAGCAGGAAAAATGAGCAAGCATCAAATCAAAACTCTTGAAAACCACTTTGGAATCTCTTGTCACGGTATTTTCTAACAGACAGAAAGAATCCTACACTACTACAAACCGAACTACGTTGTTAAACAATGCGTAAAAATGCTTACTAAGAAGCGACTCCTTTAGGCGATACCGTGATTATCTTCTACAAACCACTACAGACTGTTCCTTAGTTCTCCACTGACACAGACTCACTGTTTTTACCCAATATCTTTTAAATGCACAATCTTTGATGTACATCATAGTGGCTCTCTCTCTCAGTTTAGCTTGAAATGCATAATTACTCCTACATTACTGAATTCTTGAAACGTATTTTAGAACATTCCGCCGGCCTAAAACACTAAAATTCTGGTAGAAGGGCATCATAGTTACATAACCTCCAAGTCACCGTGAAAGGGCATTCTAGAAGTTAATATTTGATAATGACTTCCCATAACAATTCTTGGTATTACATCCTCTCGTTGTAAGCCAATTAACACAATTCAGTTACTTAATTCTACCTTTAATGCGCTTCCCATCTCCAGCTGTCTTAATTTGCCCTCAAAAGACTCCTCATAGCAGGTGTCTTAAAGGATCCCTATCAACCGCATGGGTGTTTTTGTTTAGGTGAGGGAAAGTTGAAACTTCTTGTGACTGTAGAAACGATCCATAAGATGATGTCACTGATATGTGACGTGGCCACGGAGACCATATCAGTCATGGATATGAAACACTAACTCAATTAAATTGTCTAAATCTGAAAACTTATAGCTTATCGTTAGAAAAAAAATCGTTTTGTTAGGGATTTTTTTAAAGACAGCCAAAGATCGAGTGAAATTTGGTTTAACTAAGCAACGCACACTGATTGGTTCAATATAACTAAGTTCTCCTTTACATCTAAATAGACACAAAGTTAACAAAACAGTTTTTTTTTCTATCTTAAGTATCTTATACGCCTAATAAAAAACAAATGACGAGATTACCGATTTCTAATTGCCATTTCTACTTGTTAAATTGCTTAGAATTTATAAAAATTTCCTCGAATTTAACTGCCTACAGTTTTGTGTCCTCTTCAAAAGTGTGTTCTTCATCGACAGCTTCGGTAGCCGAAGGTGACTTTTGACGCATTGATCTTGATTTTTCCCTTTTTCTGTTAAAAAAAACAAACAAACAAACAAACAAACAAAACAAAACAAAACAAAAGTAAAACAAGGAAAAGAAAAGGAACAATCAATCGCTATAATCTTGCAAAAGAATTATTTATGTAAAAAGCCCTGTTCTGTCATTTAATCAGTCGGTCAATCAGTCAATAAAAGAAACTATCAATCAATTTTTCGGTTGGCTGCTAGGTTGGGCACACAGTTGTTCTGGCGATTGTTCAGCATTCGTTCAGTCAGTCGGTCAAGTAGTCAGTTTGTTGGTTTATCAGTTGCTCAGTCATTTTTGTCAGTAATTCAGTCAGTCAGTCCGTCAGCTGGTTAATCAGTGAGTAAGGAAGTTAGTGAGTCAGTTATTCAGTGAGGTAAGTCCGCTAGCGACAGTCACTCTTTCAACCGTTTAGCCTGTAGGTTATGGAGCTAGCTAGTTTGCAAATAAATCAGTAATTCAAATAATTCAGCAGTTAGTTTGTCAGTGACAACGTCCGTCAACTTTGTTAAACGGACAGTTTATATCTCTGGAGGAATTTGAACCTGTGTATATCCCCCTTCTCACCACTTACTTCTTTGCGGTGGAATGCCTGAATTTACCGTCCCCTTTTTTCAAACTCTTGTTCCGTTTTCCTAACATTAAAAAGAAACAAAGTAAAAATTACATATTTGATAAGGTACTTAATGCGCTGTGGCAACTGCTTAACTTGATGAAACTGGTTAACGACACTCTAAATGTAAGAAAATCACAAAATAAATAGATAACTGTAGGGTAATCCGAGAGGTAATGCTGGAGAAATAAACCGAATTGGCTGCTTTCGTTTTGTTTTGTTGGTTTGTTTGTTGTTGCTGTTTTTTTTTTTACCGAGGTATTCCAAATAAATTCGCAACAAAATTTGTTTATTTGATGAAAAGGCAAATAAAGGAAAAATGAATAAAAATAAGAACGAAAAAATTACAATTTTTTTGCAAAATGTCGGCGAAACAAAGAGGATAGAACAATAAAGTGGAAGTAATTATTACATGAAAAACTGTTTTTTTGCCAAAGAAATTTGCATCGGGTATATTTAATGGCCTACTCTCTTCTATCGAGACTCATCAAAATTCGCAACAGAACATTGCACTTTTTGCGAAACGAACCCAAAGCCAAATTAAAAACGGATAAAAGACCCGAAATACCCTGCTTTCGTGCTCGTGACATTTCAATTACCAGTTATCAAACACTTGTAATATTATACATAATAAATTCATGTCAAACTTTGGGATTTCTTAAGTGTTTGGTCTTTTTTATCTTTTGCTAGGCAATTTTCTTGAAAGAATTGCATAAGAATGTTAAAGCTCCCAAATGAGAATTACGTGAATCTATACTCAACTTGATGTTTTCATACTTATTGCCGTTCATCTTGGCCGCCACCTGTTATGCAAAATCTTAATTTATTGCGCCCAAATTTCGCTCATTTGCATTAAAAAATTTCATCTCTTAGTCCTGTTTGAGGATAATTGATATTCTTTGATTTGACCACCAGTTATAGTGGTAAGAAAGCCAACTGTGAAATTAAAAATTTACTTCATTTAGAGCTTGGCAATACCTAAGGGAGGTAATGAGACTCTAAACTGATCGATACGCAGGAGAGCTTTAATATACCTTAGAAGGTTTGTCTATCTCTACCACAGTAACAGTGAATGAGTTGTCAAACAAACAAAGAATAGCGGCCAATTTTCTAAAAAAAAACAAGGTTGGCTATACATTTTTAATAAAGAAGGTAAGACAAGTTACCTTGATTTAGATCAGTATTCTCAATAGGTGCCGGTTCGATTCTTTCGGCTTCATCAAGTACTCCTTGAAACGAAAAGGTAAACACTGTCATTCTTTCTATTTTAAACTAATGAACAATATTGTACCTTATTTTCCATTATCTAATTATTAGTGATTGTTACAGAATCAAGTCAGACTATTTTGTTTTTCTTTATTTCAAATAATGACAATAACTGGAGACAAAATAACAAAGAAATTTTTCAAAACTTCTAAACCTTACAAAATTGTGTTAGAACACGAGATCCGTAGAATTTAGAACTAACGTAATGAACGATGAGGGGTGGATTACTATAATGATGTAAATGAACTGTATTGATTTGTGTGTACGAAAATATCCATCTGACCCAGATCCCTCCAGAAGTAGAAAACAAAATAAAAACTACCATCAATACAACATATTGTAGAGTCTTGGCAATACAAGCTAACAGAACAGCAACGAAAACTTCAGTACGGAACTTTTATCAACATAAAGATGACATTAGAGGAGAAACTTTAGCCTACCCTGTTGTGGATGACGCACATCAACATGAGCCAGTTCGATAACTACACCCTCGACTTTTCCTTGAAAAAAATTGTCAATAAAAAATATAGTCAGAGATTGCCACTGTGTTGTCACTCACAGTTTTCATGTCCGTTCTGTGTTCACTAGAAGGAAAAAATGTCTTACCTCTCAAGCCGCCATGTTGTTCAATGTCTTCCATGCCCTGTGGGTTCCGTTGTTCTCCATCTCCTTGGCCTTTTTAAAGAAAGCAAAGAAAAAAATTGTGAACGAGCCAAGAAACAAATAAGAACGAAGGATTTTTTGTGACGAACGCAGAACGAGATCTACAATTTCAAACTACTAAAACGTAATAGACAAGAAAGGTTGGGTAATTAAAATGATAATGATAAAATTTATTTGTGTGTATGAAAATATCCTAAAGTCATAGATCCTTCAGTTATAGAGGAACAGAGGTACAATATAAACTAACAGAATAGCATTGAAAACTTGACATTGAATTAGAAACTCTAACCTTACCCTGTTGTGGATGATGCACACCAACACTCGCCAATTCGATATCTTCACCCTCAATTTGTCCTTGAAAAGAGAAAGTAGATAAAAAATGTACACAGACTAACCCTGCGCCCTCGTTTGAACTTTGTATGATATGTTAACTGACATCTGAAAGGTTTTTACCTCCCTCGCCCCCATGTTCTCCATTTTCTTCCATTCCGTGCTGGTTAACTTGCTCTCCCTCTCCTTGGCCTTTAATTTTAAAATAAAAAAATAAAAAAAACAGGGAACATAAAAAGAAGAGAGAAGACATAAAAAAATATTTTTAGTCACAGATTGCCCTTTATTTCCCTCGTTTATAGTTTTCACGGTATTTCTAGAAATACGGGTAAGGATTTACCTCCCTCGCCGCCATGTTGTCCATTGTCTTCTGCTCCCGGTTGGTTCGGTTGTTCCCCATCTCCTTGGCCTTTTAAAGAAAACAACGAAGAAAAGTCAATGATCGAGTCGGGAAATATTTAGTTCGTACAACAAATGAACCGACCAATAAAAGAACGATGGACCGAACGAGCGAGTAAATGATTAAATGAATGCCTCTATGCATGCATGAGTGAATTGATTTATGACTGAGTGACTGAATGAACAAATCAATAGATCAATAAACTGTGTTTGCAGCAATCTGTTAGTTTACATCGTTTTTCGGTTTATTTCTTATCAGGAGCTGATAATTATATCGCACCTTCCTGATCCCGACCACAGCAGGTGAAAACGGTCTTCAAGTAGTTCCAGACTTTTTCCATTTTGTTCTTCAGAATGCCTCTGGCCTGGATACAAAATAATCGAGATTTCGCTCACTGCCTTGAGCTGAGCTCCGATGACAAAATAGAAACTAACGAATTTCTGTTGTCCAATGCTTTTGAAACATTGTCAGTGTCCATTGCAAGTGAACAAAGCAGTCTTGAGCAATATTATACACTGCTTATAGTCGGCTGAAAACCATTACCCTTCCTGTACCTAGCCATTATAAGTCTACTTACGGATTTTATTATCTTGACTACTTATAATGGATTAAAAGCGCATAACGCACCTGTTCTGTTGACAAGGTGTACAGGATAGGATTCAAGGCCGAGTTGATCGGAAGGGCAAATACAGCGATCCAGACAGCGAGGTCTCCTTGCGCTTCGTAAGACTTCTCGATGATGGTCCTCATACCAATCACTATCACCGGCATCCAGCACACACAATCACTCAGGATGATGAAGAACACCCGCCTTGCAAGAGCCGTTTCCCTCCTAAAGTTTGCTCTTCTGGCCTGGATCTCTCTTTCAGTACCCTGACGGGCCAGTCGCCGGCTAGACAAGTAAGACTTGACTAGTATCATGAGATAAGCACCCATGATGAACAAGAAAAAAGCAAAATTCAAAGCGAGAAAGATAGCAACAGAATACTCCCAACCTGCCGGCTTATCAGAAGTAAGCTGCAAGGGCAGACATACCACACTTCTACCATAGTAACTATGGTACCTGAATGGGTCTTCAAAATACTGAATACCAAACATAGGCAAAAAGGCCATAAGGAAGCCAATTGCCCATATGATGATGCACAGGATATGTGTTGCCTTTGGTTTCAGAGAAGCACCTTGGTAAGGAAACACAATATTTTTAAGCCGATCAGCAGATATCAGTGTCATCATCATAACCGAAACCTCACTTGACAGAAGGGAGATCGCTCCAATTATTTGACAAGACAAACCAGACCTCCACTGGAAGTCATGCAAGTAATACTCTCCTCTCCACAACAGATCTTTAGTGCCAAGAGAGATCAGGTAAATACCCATCAAACCATCGGACACTGCTAAGTGGAGCAACATGATGGACTGAACCACGTTCTTTTCTTTAAAGATCACTCGCCAAGTGACAACAAACACTGCACCAACCAGAGAAAATACTCCTATCACCCAGATACTCTTCCTTGGGGCAGAATTCTTAAACATGCTCTCACAGTTGGCAAAGTCGTCGTTGTACGTGAAAGCACAGTCAGCGTCCTCCTTGTGCATATGACAACACATCAGATTTGTGTCGAGACTCCTACAATTGTAAAATATCATCCACAGAAGTTATTTCATAAAAACTTCACAGAACTTGCTTTTAAGAATATATCAGTAACTGATGGCTGGAGTTATCCATTGACTTATACAAAATATTTTTTTTAAGAATCCAAGTCTTCAATTCTTTTTGCAAAAACTTGAATTTCCCCAAAATGTTGTCTACTCAAAATGTATAGCTTTGCTCAAAAACTAATAATTTGCGAATGAATTTTATCAAAATCTTACACTCGTTGTATATCCTTCAACATATCGAAAAAACCATATGGAATCTCCCTCATCTTGTTATACTGCATATACCTGGAAATTAAATTAGGAGATTAAAATGTAGTGATCAAAAGCCGCAAACTCCACAACAAAAATTAATCTTTCAAATAGGCTCTCTTAATCCCACAGTGTCAACGAAGTCTTTCATTTAACTAATTTATTCGTGTTTATTTCGTGACCAGGTTCCCTCTAATCGCAAAGCGTCTTTTCCTGTTTCTAAACCACTTACAATTTACAATTCCAGTATTCTTGGACGAAGGGCTAATGCTCAGGCGTCGGCTTTTGAGGCTATTCATGGTGGCCAATTTACATCACCAACTCACTTGATAATAGTTGAATATTGGATGAGATTGGTTATGATATTATCATAATGCTGAAGTCTGAGTTATCTGCCGAAGCCGGAGGCTGAGGCATTTAAAGCAGACACAAGGTTTTACAGTCCATGATATCATGGGAAAAGCGAAATCATTATCTGTTTTAATGTACATTTTTAAAACACTCTGCGAAAGAAGACATTTCTCTCTGACTTTGCAAAAGTTTCAGGACGTTACACTGACAAGGGGCTTGGAAACTAGTCAGACTTTGAACTCCACATGATAACCCAATACCTGATGGAAATATCGGTTATCATGTCAACTTTACACGCTTTTGTATATTGACTGTACGCTCTCAACCAATCAGAGTTTCGATGTAGAATGACACCAAATATCTTGAAATGCCCTGCGCTTTACAAACTTACTCCCACTCAGCAAATAATCAATCTGCTGGCAGGAAAGCATTTCCGGTGAGTTGCAGATAACGTAAGATGCTTTTACAATAAAAGCATCGATTTGGAGTGTTTTGATCATGTTTCAATTGTGAAATATAACACCTTAAGGTAACAAGGTCCGTTTCACAACTTGGTCATCACTTGATTAATTATAACACTCACAGAATTTTTAACTGTTTAATTTCTTTGAAGTTGTCGATGGAGACATGAGTCATTTCGTTTTCAACAATTTCTCTAACAAAAAGAAAGTGCAGGGAAGGTAAATATTTCGACATTGATGTGAAAATAATCACTTAAAGGTGAAATTAAATGCA